GTTTTTTGAACATTAAAGCATGTCAACATATTCTGTTACACCAAATACACAAAATAATGATCTTTAAAATAGCATCATATGACCCCTTTAAGTACTGTCAAATTTGCATTTTAATTCTATACACTGCAAATTTCATTTGATATATTCAGACTTTCATTCCATATATTCAGACTTTCATTCAATATATTCATGTTTCACTCCATATATTTAGACTTTCATGTGTGATGTGAAGTGACGTGTGGCAAAGTATGGTGACCCATACTCGGAATTAGTGCTCTGCATTTACCCATCCAAAGTGCACACACACAGCAGTGAACACACACAAACCGTGAACACACACCCGGAGCAGTGGGCAGCCATTTATGCTGCGGCGCCCGGGGAGCAGTTGGGGTTCGGTGCCTTGCTCAAGGGCACCTCAGTCGTGGTATTGCAGGTGGGAGAGAGTGCTGTACATTCACTCCCCCCACCTACAATCCCTGCCGGTACGAGACTCGAACCCACAACCTTTGGGTTATGAGTCCGACTCTCTAACCATTAGGCCACGACTTCCCATTCTTCCCATATTCATTCAATATATTCAAGTTTCCTTCTATATATTCAGACTTTAATTCCATATATTTACATTTAATTCCATATATTCAGACTTTTATTCAATATATTCAAACTTTCATTCCATATATTCAGAATTTCATTCAATATATTCAAGTTCCATTCCATTCCATATACTCAAGCTATATGGTATAAATACCATAATTTCCTGAACGGCATGCCATAATATATATATATATATATATATAGTCACTTCTCTTTAACAGCTACCCAGTTTATGTAATTCAACATTTCTGTTACTTTAGGCACATGATTGTAGGTTTTGCATGTTTAGGATGATTGCAGTCCTAGGTGACCAATGTTGTGCATTTTCAGACACAAATAATGAGAATAGTAACTTGCTTTCTTGCAGGAGCAAGAAATGCCCATTCAGGAGCTCTTGAGTCTCTACGGTTACGGAGGCAGTGGATCACCTGAGGAAGAGGAGGAGGAGGAAGATGATGACGAAGAGGATGTGGATGGAGAGGAGGAGGAGGAGGAGGAGGATGATGAAGGAGAAGATATGGATAATGATGAAAGCAGCAGAAGCACTGGAGAACTGAAGAAGAGCAAGGTCTGTCCCATAAGATCCTATGTCCCATAATACAGTACATATCATGTAAATTAGTAATATAAAAATATTGTTGTTGAGCGCACAGGATGCATACACAGCAAAAACAACCTTCATTTCAATGTAACTGGGTTCCCAAAGTACTGGGAATTAAGTGTGATTTCCAGGCCTGAATTGAATAAGAGTAAGAAATTAATATGAATAAGAATTAAGACTAATTTCTAGTAATGGACAGTTCTAAAGTTGGGCAAATTACTGTTTGTCAGTGTGATCTCTAAAAACAGCCCTTTGAAAAGGTTACACACCAGCTATCACTAATAACTGGAAAAGTGAAGTCAACCTTTATTTAGCACATTTGAAACAACTGGGGCTTGGCGATAAACAATATCATAGCGAGATTGAGATTAAATTTATGTCTAACGAAAATAAGCTCTAGACATTTTTATGTGATATGGATATTTCTAACAGTCTATCACACAGTGTCTGCGACTCAATATTTGAGGACATGAACACATGAACTCTCCAGAGCTGCTCTGAGGGTCACTTCCCAGCTTTACACCGTTTCATTTGAGAAAGACTACCATCAAATACACACTGAAAGATCTTCACAAAAACCTGTCAAAATAAAAGTCCTGTTAAACTTGAATAATTTATGACAAATATATTACTAGCGTATACTAAAATATAATTCTTAAAGTAATAGTAATAATAGTTTTTAGGAATCTCATACAACCAAGGTATTTTTAAAATTAATTTATACAGTTCTGTTGTGCAGCATCTTGCTTGACAGTGAAAATGCAATGTTTTGTTGTAAATTAATTTATTTTGTTTATAATAAAATAATTGTTGAAGTTTTATTAATTCATTTCATTAGACACCATTTTTTATGATAAATTTGTATTGAATCTTATAACACAGAAACTTGAAAAAATAAAATGGATAAAAGGATTAAGGGGAAAATATAATGGATTTCATGGGACCCTAAATTAAAAGGTATCTTACTCTGAATATTGTGAATAAATATAGATATTGTATGAAAAAAATATATATATATTGTGATAATATTTTTAGCCATATCACCCAGCCCTAAATACATACTTCATCTATTTATGTACATTTTGAAATGGGAACTTAAAGGTGCCATAGAATGGAAAACTGTATTTACCTGGGCATAGTTGAAAAATAACAGTTCTGTACATGGAAATGACATACTGTGAGCCTCAAACACCATTGTTTCCTCCTTCTTATGTAAATCTCGTGCATGCAAAAGACCACTGAAAAATAGGCGAATCAGAACATAACACCGACTGTGACGTTACAGTTGGGATCACTAATATGTACACCCCCAACATTTGCATATACCTGACAATGTTCTAGGCCAGCCGGACCTGCACAGCCAAATCATCAGAGGTTCTGCAGGTATTGTGAAGAAACAAGCGAGGACAACAGTGAAAATGGCAGATCATGGAAATAAATGTTATGTTACAGGCTGTGCAGGGGATGTGAAGTGCAGGGATGGGTTGGTGTCTGTATTCAGAAAGGCACGGAAAGCAAATAACGCGCTCTAATAAAATAACACGAGCCACTAAAGGGACATGGTTAGCTGCTTGCTAACAGGTTACATTACAGTACATTCACTTACCACATAAACAGAGTAAGGAGCGATGACTGAGGACGATGGCGAATGATTTACAGATCCTGAGCACCACTGACAAGCATCTGATCTTGTAAAATGTGTGGTAAGTACTGCCCCTATAGTTTACACAGCACGTGCAATCACAAATCTCGAAAGTGAAAGTAAAACGCGATCGTGCATTCGAAAGCAGTTTCAACATTATTATTCATGACCCTTCCAAATAAGGTGATAACAGACCATTTCATTCTAGAGTCAAATCCTAGGGTTGTAAATGGACATGTAAAACCGTTTCTGGAGATTTTTTTGCCCTTACCTAAGCCACATACCTTCTATGTAGATAGCAGAGAACAATTTAAAATATTGTATCAATGCATTCTATGGCACCTTTACATTGGTTCTGTCCAACCTTATTTTAGAAGGATGTTAAACACTAGAATAAGGGAACTGTCCCCCTTTTTTTTTTTTGGTTAATGTTTGCTTATAGATGTAGCTTATATATCATAGATATGTAAATGACAACAGACAGTGTATGCGGTCCATTCAATATTCAATTATATTTGGAACAAGGTATGTTGATGGTTAAGCCCCATAACCCGCACTGTACTACCGGTGGACAATCGCTTTGTTTTATATCAAATAAGCAATTAATCTTCATAAACTATATAGCATTTGAAAACCATAAACTTTAAGATTCAACCTCTGAAGTGATTTTTTTCAATCGATACATTTTAGCGGAAATAAAAAAAGGAATGAAGCGGGTTTTTGGACTAGAGACATTAATACATAAGTAATGTAATGTAATAATGGCCAAACATGGTTTAACACAGATAACACCAACTACTATGGCCACCCTACCAGATGCACTTTTTCTAGCTGTCAAATTTATGGGAAAGCATTTTAGCCCCTTAACTGTCACCCCCATTTTTGAACATAAGACTTGAAAGTGCACTATACAAACTTAAATTGTTATAATTCATGAACACTTTTGAATACAGCCCTAAGGTTGGTCTCTTTTTAAAGAGAACAATCAGCAGATTGTTTATTTATTGCTTATTATTAATTTCAACAAATGAAACTATAAAAAAGTTAGTTTTAAGTTTATATTTACTGTAAAACAATGTACTGTACTATTTTTATTTTATTTTATATAAAATATTTTACAAAACAATTTTTAATCCAGAATTGCTATAAAATTAAAGCTCGTAAAAAAGAGGTTCCTATGCAAGGTTCCTATTCCTATTGTTTAGGTGTTATACTAAAAAAGCCACCAGGTGACACCCAAACTCCATTGATTGAAAAAAAAATGCATTTTACAAATGTAGAAATTTCTCTCTCAATATTGTTTCTATCACAAAGTAACCACCAAATGTGGAATCGTGAAACTCAATGTATTTTGTCAAAATTATAAAAAGTTTTGATTATAAAGATTTTTTTTAAAGTTTTGTAATATGTCACCCACCATAAGGGGGAGGAGACCTCAAAAAGATTTTGAAGAACCATTTCCATAGTAATCCACCAGGTGACACCCAAACTCCATTGATTGAAAAAAAAAATGCATTTTACAAATGTAGAAATTTCTCTCTCAATATTGTTTCTATCACAAAGTAACCACCAAATGTGGAATCGTGAAACTCAATGTATTTTGTCAAAATTATAAAAAGTTTTGATTATAAAGATTTTTTTAAAGTTTTGTAATATGTCACCCACCATAAGGGGGAGGAGACCTCAAAAAGATTTTGAAGAACCATTTCCATAGTAACGATTTCAAAATGGTTTCAACAGGATTTTGAGGTTTTAATCTTTCAAATGATATATAATTTATGATGATTACTAAAACATTTGATAGAGAAAAAGGCAACAAAAAAGAAAAACTTTTTGTGACAAAGGTCAGAACTCCTGTTATTGATTGTGATTGTGATTTTTTTGAGGTGCACTCTTGTCATAAATTGATCTATTACTGTTCTTACATAATTTGTAACAAAAAACTGGTGAAATATCTATTTAGGAGTCTTAGACCATTCCAACGATATATAGTTTATGATTAGATTTTGATTTAAATGTAATATAGTGAAATAAACTTAGATTTTGTTTCCCATTGATGGGACGGTGACAGTTAAGGGGTTAGAACTGCGTTTAAATAATTTTTTTTTTCAGGAGGATGATGCAAAGGTATCCACAGGAATGGTAAATGAGAGCTACTCCACTGACAGTCGAGTTTGTGCAGTGACCGCCTGTAAAACAGCTGAACTCATACGTTCACAGAACCATGGCTACTTTCAGAGTAAGAGACAGACAAGCTCCACTTGATACACATTTTATTCAGTATTTATCACCCCCATATAAGTTTGCTTAAGCACTGTTTTGACGTTTAATTTTTAGATAATGAAGTAGATGAAGAGTCAGAGGAGGATGATGACTATATTCCCTCAGAAGACTGGAAAAAAGTAAACACTCTTTGATCAGTATAGTTTTCTTCATGCTTTTTGTCTAATTTCCCATTAAATGTTTGACGTGTATGTTCTTAACAGGAAATTATGGTTGGCTCCATGTATCAGGCTGACACACCATCTGAACTGTGCAAATACAAAGACAATGAGAAAGGTAGATTTGACTTATGTTGATCAATTCAAATATCCGTTTGGTAGAATTATACTGCACCACAGGAAAATAAATATTTCTGGTTGTTCATATGACAATGTGCAGTTGCATGTTTTGCAAACATGTGCATGAGGCCTTTTTTTTATAGTATTACATTGGGTTACAAAAACAGTTGGGACCAATTATTGAATCCTTTAGGAAACACTGACTAAATATTTAAACTGGAAGGTTTTTGCTGGCACTAATGAAATGAGAACTGCATCAGTCATAGTATGATGTCATTTTTATAACTCTTCAATTATTATATGTTCTTTTAATTGCATGACTGTAATTCTAATCACTTAATGTTCTTGATTTCACATATGGAAATGGTTTACATTTTTGGAGGCATCAATAAGTTATACTCTTGTGATATGCTTTGAATCTGTGACTCCATCATTCACAGTGTATGAAAATGATGACCAGCTGCTGTGGAATCCTGAAATTCTTACTGAAAACAAGGTAGTTGAGTTTCTGACAGAAGCATGTCGACGGACGGGAGAGGAGACTGGAGTAGATGCTATTCCAGAAGGATCCCACATCAAAGACAATGAGCAGGTACTAAACAACTGCCTCTAAGATTTAATATTATTAATAATAATAATAATTTTATCATTTTATTTGTAATCAAATGCTGATTTGTGACTTAATACACAATACAAATTGTTTACTCCCCTCAGGCATTATATGAGTTGGTGAAATGTAATTTTGATACTGCTGAAGCTTTGCGAAGATTAAGATTTAACGTTAAAGCAGCCCGAGGTGAGCCTTACAAAGTTGGTTAAATGGCATTTTTCTTTGTCTTACATCATAAAGTTTGAGGCAGTAGAAAACATTCATATAATGCATACAACAGGCTGACAGTGTTTGTGCCACTTTCAGTGTAGTAAATCAGAAACTTATGACTCCCTATTCGGACGGGACTATTTACGGGGGGTCATTAGAGAAATTTGTGTTTCACAGACGTACTTGGTGATTTTAATCCCGTCTGATTCTGCCACGTTCTGTGTTTTTCTCACACAACCTCTGTAAGAATTCCAGAGCAAATTACCTACTGTTTTTCAGCAAACTCAGTGATCCTCTGAGAAAACTTATCCCGTCCGAATGCGAATGTCTGTGATTGCCGGTGATATTTTTTTCACAACGCGTTTCCTTGTGTGTTTTGGCCAACGTGAATTACTGTAGACGCTCTTACCGCACACATGTTTGATATATTTTCCTCCTGGCAAAGAAAATAAATAAATAACAATAATAAAATCAAGGTTTAATTTCTGCACTCAATTACATAATGGTTTAATTACATATGTGCCTTAAATGAAAATTAGACATGGGTTTACTACAAATAAATACAAAATGTAAATAGTTAAACTAAAGTAACCATACATTAACATGGTTTTGCTATACTAGCCATTTAGCTTCACCAAGGTATTTGTAGTAAAACTGTGATTATAGTGGTAATCAATCCGAATGACTATACGCAATGCACGCATACAGAGCGTGTGATCTCTGAAATGCCCAGATGTACAAAACAGATCCTCCCACCTCTGTAATAAACATGGAGATGTTAGTCCTGTCCGAATTGGTACATGAAAATCCCAGACGTCAGGTGACACGAATCGAAACTCAAACATAGTTTAGAAAACTAGTCCCGTCCAAATAGGGCTTAAGAGAACTTATGAAAGACCTGAGTGTATGTAACACGGCATGACCGCAACGTCACGTTCCCTTCTCAGGTAATCGAGGTTATGTCAGTAACTGGAGACATTCCTTTTCGAGAGAGTCTCTCGACGTTGCGTACAGCATAAGCTGATCGCTTTGGGGAATGTGTAACTTCACGCCATGTTACTGCAATGGGTGCTCAGCATAAGTGGAGACGTCAAATAAACGCACCGACACTCAACAGCAATCGCAATGTATGGTACAGCCACTGTACACAAGTACACATAAGCAGCACATTCCAGACAACAGCTTCTAACCGGAGCTAGACATGCAGTTGTGGAGCTTACCGGTGCCGCACTTGCAGTGACAGCGTGTTTAACGTTGGCAAACTCTGTCGAGTAGCCAGATGCGCAAATTCCCTAAGTCTAGGCTAGATGCCAGACTGAGTCACTCGCTTGAGAGAGGGGATCTCTTCTCAACGAAATTAGACATTCAGGTCCCGAGAACCAGGGCAACGTGTGCCCTGTGCCTCAACGTATGTCCGTCCTGCGATTGAGATGGCCGGGGAGACAGACAGAAGGTGCTGGTCTGCCCACGTCTACAGGCTTGTCGCAAGCTTCAGAAGAGGGCGAGAACTGAAACCGCCTTGGCAATTATGAATGGCACAGCTGCCATGTTGTCCATTCGAACGAGAACATGCTTGTGATGGACCTAAGTGTAGAAACACTTAAGAGACATGTGAACTGCTCCAATCACCAGGGATGTCATCATTTACTATTTCACTGTGTCTGTCCAGGCACGGAATGCCGGGCAACCATCGCACAAGGCTGCTGTTTTTGTAAAAGGCTGTGCTCCTCCATAGGGCCAGCACTTCTAGGTATTTGCGAGTCACAAAGATGTGTGTTGAGCTCAAGTGTGGGACCCGTGCAGGAATTCATGCTTTCAATCATAGTTGAAGCGGTCACATGTGAAGCAGTCCCAAGCTGCCAGATAAGACAATCTGTTACAGTGCGAACAGTCTGAGGGAGTATTCTGATAATGCACTCGTAACACTGGAGCGTTTTGAAGCCTGCACTGAAGTAAGTATTACACCGTTGAGATGAGGCAATCTGTGGCTTTTATATGGAACTCGTTGTCTCTTTAAGGAAAGGAAAAAAAATTTTTAGCGGACCTAGTGGAGACCTGCAGCTCTGAGAGGGAGGGAGAGCCTGCTGAAGTGCTGTATGTGTGTGTGCACATCGGAAAAGATATAAAGAGGTGAAACGCTGCACTTTAAAAACTATGTAAAAACAGCTGTCATAGACAATATGGCAATTGCAACAAGAAGCGGCGAACCCGGCGCTTGGTGTACACTATCCGATGACACCTTATAACACTTCAGCCAGTTAGTAGAATGGGGCAAGTTCAAGGCTAGCGGCCGCTGAAACCCAAATAAAAAACTCAGGTTAACTCAGTGCTTAAGATAGATGGGGTGACTCTGCGCTCATTACTATTGGAAGCTAGCTGTGCTAGACAACATAACAACTGCATCAACAAGCAACATCCCGGCGCTATTTTAAACGGGACAGCGGGGTACTAGAATTGTAACACAGCCAACAGTAGCGATAGCCCATATTTAAGTGGGGGTGGGGGGGGGGGTAGTTTCAAGCATAATGACTGTAACCCACAGGATAATAGCAGCAAGACAAATCATACAGGGGCACTGCCACTGTAATCACTGCAAAGACTGGTACATAGAAGGGACCGATGCGCACTATGGGAACATGCGCACTAAGGCTGCCCCAATATAGAGTGAGTGAGTGAGTGGCAGCTGCGCTGGTGCTGTCATCTTCATGACGTCATTCCCTAGCAGACTTAGTGGAGCCCCACAGCCCAGAAAGGGGGGCGGGCCTTCCCAGCCATCCCGGCTATGGGCACAAGCAATGACATGAATCATATAGCAGCGACTTAACTCAAGAAGCAGTAAAACTGGTCTACCTTGAGCGAGCACGCAGACTTGAAACGAAAGACCCGGGAAGCCATTAATTAAGAAACATGGCATTTTTTTCTGCCAAGCCCATCCAGCCACTGAACACATATATCCCTTTAGACCAAGACGAGGCATGCCTCTCGTATAGTCAGCTTGCACACCAGTAGTTTGTTTTTGAATGTTTTATTTTTTTTGGTACGCTCCACATAAATGCGGAAAGTGCGCACAGGGCAGGGAGGGGCTCTCCCCCACTGCGCACTTGCCCGAGTAAAAGCTGAGAGAGATATCACCTAGGCTCTGAACGCTGTTGAGAACACCTTGGATATGTAATCCTTTCTTGGTTTAAGCACAACTTACAGTCATTAGGTCTGAAAACCATACATGACTCACTGACAGAGAGAGCATGCATATCATCCACTTGCTTAACAGAAGCAAGTATAAACAATGGCACTGTCTTAAGGGAGAGAAAAAAAATTGTGATAGGTTACAGATAGGCTAGTATCTCCTGTATTTTGTCTTCCAGCTTGTCACACTGTACAGTGGAACAACCATAGGAACAACCACAAAGACACAACAACCACAAAGACAATCAGTGATAGTGCCTGCAATAGTGACAGTGAAACAGAGAGAAGAGTAAAATAGCGGGTAAACTTTACTGTCGATCCGACTATAATGCTTTGCGACACGTTCCTCATTCTGGGAACGAATGGCATTTCGGCCATGAGTTCTCTGGTTTCACAGCTGGCTCAGGCTCTATACAAGAGTCTGTAGCTGGGCTAGATTTACATGCAGTCACACATAGCTATGCTAGCTGTAACGCCAGTCAATATAGCAGTCAATGTAAGCAACATTACACATCTGTATGAAGAGAGTGACTCAGCCGGTGCTCATCACAGAAAGGCAATGCATGGCGGCAACACCAGCATATAGCGGTCAGTTTTGGAACATGCCATGTCATGAAGCTCTTATCATCTTTGCCTTACAGACATTAAAAATATATCTATAGAGAGTGAAATGTCTACTCTGCTTGAGCACTTATTCGGCTATGTACAGTATGCAATTAAAGGCTCATTATAATGATTTAAATGGTTTATTAATAAACGTGCGATTAGTCGACTAATGCTTCACATGAACGACTACTAGTCGACCAGAAAAATCCTTAGTCGAGGGCAGCCCTAGTATGAATCCAACGCGGTGTCCGGTTTTCCCATCTCAACTCGTTATCTCTAATGAGATCACGAGCCGATCGCGCTTTTCAGATTCTAAACATCCATGTGAGACACACGCGCATGTAAATGCCCACATCATCCGTAAACAAACGTGAAGAGTTCATCCCAGCTACTTTTTGTTTCTGGAAGAAGACGCGCTGACAGGAATAACCCAGAATTTACCTCAGAAGAAGAAGAAGAACACAACGTGATGCGTTGCGCAGCTAGATACAGTGGAGGATATCACTGATGAGTAGCCCAAGATTACTTGCATCTGTTGTTATTGTGTTATTGTGACTAACTTGTACACATTTTATTAGTTAGACTTTTCCCAAACTATAATTTCTGACTACATGTATGAAATCAAGTGAAACATTTTGAAATATGTAATTTCATTGTCTAAATGTCTCACAACGCCAGGATGTTTGTTTAATTTTTTAAAGGGGTCATATGATGCGATTTAAATTTTTCCTTTCTCTTTGGAGTGTTACAAGCTCTTGGTGCATAAAGAAGATCTGTAAAGTTGCAAAGACTAAAGTCTCAAATCCAAAGAGATATTCTTTATAAAAATTAAGTGTCAACCACGCCTACCTAAAACGGCTCGTTCTAACACGCCCTAACATGTCTACGTCACGATGTGGGAAGATTTTCATAAGGCCGCCCAAATGTACACGCAAAGAAAGAAGGCGTAAATTTTATTTTCGCTGTAGTATTGTTGTTGCTGCCGCCGCCATGTCATGAAGGTGCTGTGTTTCGTTGTGAAAGCTAAACTACTTTGGTTGGCCTTCCAAAAGGGGACGATATCCGCTTCGTCATGCCTGGAGCTGATCCGTGATGGTCGCTGAGGAAATACATCAACTTCGCGCTGTCGATTGCCGGATCGGCTTTCACCGTGGACGAAGTGGAGTCCAGCCCGGGGTCGTCATATGTGGTTGCCACAAGCCCGCTGGCCACTCCTTCGTCGAATTCGCCGGCCGCGCCTTTCTCAAGCCCGCCCGCCTCTGCTCACTCAAGCTGGCCTCCGCATACTCTAGGCCACCGCTCACTCAAGGCCGCGGTGTGTGACGCTGTTTCGTTGTGAAAGCGAAACTACTTTGTTTGGCCTTCCAAAAGAGGACACGACTAGAAATCAGTGATTAAGTTGTATTTACAACACTGTTCCAGAACAGTTTAACCCAAATATTCAGATGTGTCCAGTGCATTTTATGGAGGACTGTTTCCTGATCCTGGTAGAGTAGACTACAATGCCAGCTGTTCTGACTCACAGACTGTAAGTAAGTTTTTTTTATATTTAAAGAATTTGCCACTGACGATTCAAACGCGAGTTTTTTTACGTGGCGCGATGCAACGCAACGCGTAAAAAGACAGTATAAGTCATTATACTATATATATTATTATATTATTACGGATTATCCGTAATTATGTCCCCACTGGATGCAACAAATGCCTCGTTTATAATGGGTTTTAACGTTTTTGGCTCGTCGCTCCGGACGGACAGGGCATCACAATATCGTAAGAGACGTAACACTTCCGTCACACGCTTGAGGTATTAGGCCAATCACAATGCACTGGATAGCTGGCCAATCAGAGCACACCTCGCTTTTCAGACCGATGAGCTTTGTAAAAATCGACACATTTCAGAAAGGCGGGGCCTAGAGGAGAAACAATAATGTACAGTATGTGGAAAATAATGTGTGTTTTTTTTACCTTAAACCGCATAAACACATTTCATTACACCAAATACACAAAATAATGTTCTTTTTAGCAGCATCATATGACCCCTTTAACATAAAAAAAACACAAGATATAAAAGTAGTGTGAGTGTTAAAACTATGAATGAATGTTTGGCACAAAGCTGTGTTACTGTTCAAGTCTCAGTGTTCAGATCAGTATGTTCAGTCATGTGTTGACCTTGACCTACACTGTGTATATTTTTATTATACTGTGTTGTAAATAACATACAAATAATGATCAAAAACCCACATTATTTTACTCTCCTCACTCTTTCTTACCTGCCTCAGTCACATTCATATTGATGGCCCATTATGGGAGGCCCTTTGTCTCTTAGGTGTGAATCACTAAATATTCATGGCCATTGTCACTCCCTCGCATAAGGGCATTCTATCACAAAACATGTTTTACAAATGTTAAATCAATATATTGTTTTCTGTGAATGAGTAAACAGGATCATTTTCACATAATTTTGTACCAAGAACTCTAGTCTACCACATCCAGTTCTCAAAAGTCTTGTGAACAAATGTTCTGTATGTGTTTTATAGCCTTATTTCAGCGACTTAAAAATTTTAGTTTTTCACTAACCACACATAAACATTGTTTTCTCAAAAACACAAACATATACTTTCATGCTGCTCACATATTATTTTAGCCCAGTTTGTGCTGAATACACTGTTCTTTAGACATTAATATGTTTTTAAGATACTGAAAAAACACAAATGTCAGGGCACATCAAAACTTCTCCAGGGCCCCAAAACACCCTCAGACCCCAGAGGGTTAATGTATACAGTCGAATATGCAATGTTGTTATTTTAAATTTGATTATTCAATCTCTGTACCTAAAAACTGTTAGACCTACCTAAAAAAAACTGAAAACACTGTTTATTTTAATTACTCTGTTGTATTTATTTATGTTGCTTGCATTTAGATTATTTGTTCTTCTTTTCTTTATTTTTATTTGACAATATAGTCCTTTGACTATAAAACCGTGATACTCAAATCAAACTCAAAGAAGAAAGAAACAGAGGCCCTAATTGATTAAGAAAAAAATCCACATTCAAATCAAAATAGCCAACTTCCTATTGGTCGTAGCTAATGACTGTAAATTAGAAAGTTGTCCGGCTTGATGAGAACAATATATGTCCTAAGTTTGGTGACTGTAGCTAAAACTAACCCCCCAAGTTTTGTCAAAAGGTGGTGCTATAGGGCGCCTCTTCCAAGCCCTTTTATGAGCATTTGCCAGTGTCTATCTATCTTTAATACTGATGTGTGTTGAGTTTCATGAAATTCTAAGCATGTTGTCTGCCTCAAAATCACCAGAAAATAATATTCAAGTTCGACACATTGCCA